CACATGGAGGGTAAAAGCGTTATGTCGTACGGTGGAAGTAGTTGAATTTGGTAGCATGTCAGGAAGAGTTAGCATTTAGTAGATTTGGACAAACCTGATTCTGACTTCGAGAGTGAATATATTCTTGCCAAGGTGGTGCACAATAGGTGAAGTGACGTCACCACCTGGAAGGGGAGTTTGCAACGCCAGATGTCAGTCAAGTCTACAAAAGACACCTAGGTGCCAATATGACAAACTGTCACCATCACGAGGGGTGATTGGTGACGCATCACCTCAGCCCGGACTTGGATTTAGTTCAACCTCTGTCAATCATTGCCATTCACGATTCAACAAACTTATGGTGAGCTTTTAACCCCCAGCATGCTGGTACTTGGGGCTCCGCCAGTAGGCGGTAGGCCCCCGGACCATTCCAGTAGCTCCGCCCCAGCCCTATTATACTTCAACAGCGCATTTTCTGCCCTAAGAGTATACTTTTTTGTCTTCAGAGAAGTCTCGAGGCTTTCCAGCTTCATTAATGAAATTTCAACTCGAATGGGGCAAATGCGTTAAAATGGTTGACTTGAACTGTGCCCTTATAACCGCCAAATATAGAAGTCAAGCCTAACGGGTATCAAAATTTGACAAAATAAGTTTTACTGGTAGTAAATTGTTTAATGAGTTCCATTTAAGTCAAGGAACTAGTGGATCAAAAAAGGAAGCCATAGTTAGCCCTGTCTCGGTAATCTACCCGAAATGCAGCGGTTTGGCAAGTCGCTGAATGGCCTGATTAAACGTACGTTCTAACTGGAAGTTTCCATAAGATACATAACATAAACAGCAAAACGAAAGCTCCAAAATCTCAATATGGTGGAACGTCTGCATGGTTTTGGTGACATTTCAAGACGTATCCGTAAGGAAACAACCAACAAAACCGAATAAATTTACCTTCGTAGTCTCTGGAGTGAAAAGCACCTTACGACCCCTTCCAGTCATCTAATCGCGTTTGATGACCCGATTGTCATTATAGTTACACCAGGCAAAATAAAGAGGGCCTCCATTTATCAAAGTTGCCCCCAGAGTTTGACAACTGTCAAATTACTACGAAAATGAGGTAAAATTCAGACATTAGGATGTAAAACAAAGCGTGAGTAGTCTTTAGAACCTATGATGAGATAAAAAGGGCAGAAGAACAAAAAGTGGTGGAAATGGAACTGAAATAATCAAAGCAAAAAGTACTCTGTTCGGCTAGTAAAATGACGCATTTAGGCTGTTCAAAGGATAATGAAGGCTGAAGAACAGACACGATAAAGTCGGGTGATGCTGAATCAGTTTCCCTCCAACCTGTCCTGATGACTCAATCGTTCTTTCGCCACAGTTGAAACGATTAAAACAACATGACACACTTCTTTTCTGCGGAACAACCCGCCCACCAAAATAGATAGGTTGACGAAGTTAGAATAACACTGGGACCCGCGTTTCGGGGACTAAGAAATGTTTCATTTTTAACGAAGCCAATAGAGCGAAAATGGGCCTCTGCGAGACAGCTAGACAGGAAAGATTGTCTTTAAGTATGCGAAATTTGTAAATGAATGCCGCTAATTAGGAGTATAATGCTAAGGCAGCGAGAAAGGATTGAAGGATTGACAACACCCATCTACCAAAATAGACAAGCCGGTAGAGTTAAAAAAAATCATAGATTTCAAAAGTTACCAAAACTTGCGTTCCACGAGCTAAGACGTGTTTTAATCTCATTGAATTCACAGTGCAAAAATGGGTCTGCCTAGTCGCCTTACAAAATGGCTGCTAGCAGAAAATGGAATGTTAAGGGAACCTGCAAGGAGTGAAAGGAGAATAAATGTGTCACTATTCTAGATTGTCTAACACCCTCAAGCCACGAATACCAGGATTTCAAGAGCCTTGTGATGCAGTGATAATAATGGGGAGAAAACGAAACATGCTTAGAATTTGACCTTATGTAATGTCGCTAGTAGCACGGGGAAAAGTCAATTCACCAGACGACGTATGCAAAGGGCCTGATTTGGGGAGACATTTTCATTATCTAATCTGTGCCTTTTCACGGGGCAATCGCTTTATAGGAAGAGTGCAGGGTTTGAGAAAGGAGGAAAAAGTGTGGAATATGAGGTGCTGCTAACGAGCATCTCTTAGTACACACCATCATAGTAATTGCCCTCTGTAGAGGGAAAAGAAATCTTCTGGCAGAAACCTGTACTCATGAAGGATAATCTGAGGGTACTTTGTCAACCTAAGAGATACCAAGTGTAGATTATGGTTGACCGACAAAGCCTGGGAATTTGAAAATACGACCCATACCTTTCACCAATAGGAAGATCACATTATTGCACTCATGTGAAATCTAAATGGTATCGATGCTAACAACGAGTCGGCGGGCCATCCTATTCCATATCTTGAGAAATACTTACTAGACTGTCAATCGTCGACTCGAATATCAAAGTAAGATGGCCTCCGAATCGTTGTTATTCAAAAAACAAACACAATGAATATTCAAATTAGCCAGGCGAGATAGTGATGAATCAGCCTTACCCCTTAATTAGCCTGAGATAGTGTGTCCGAGGCAAATGTGGAGTTAGGTGGAACTCACAAACAACATTCCTCAAGACACTACTGATGATGAGTCTTGCCCGTACACGACAAAGGGCTTGCAGATACCAAACATCACAAATCAAGGCAGATTGCTAGGAGCAGGTGACTTTAGCAACTAATTAGCTAAGTGAAATGAGAAAATGATGCTAGCTACCCACTGTTATAAAGCGAAAGCCACCTTGTGCAATCTGAAATGGAAGCATCGGTAAAATTGCAACTAACCGGTTTCGAGCTGAGGCCCCAAGTGATGAGGATGTTGATGACCTTCAAGCCATCAAAGTCGAGTTGAAGCCACTCCCGACCCTCGTCTTTCACGGGCCGTTGAGGACACCAGGCACGAGGACTATCGTCACCTTTGGAGTCGAAGACACTCCCGCTAAATTTCAAAAAAGAGTACAAAAATTACAATGGGATGATCTATGACCTGGTTAAATAAAAAAATTGTGCTTCCCTTCCCTCCACGAGAAATGTTAGTCAGTGCTTTGTTACAGCGCTTCACTGATGCACGAGGAAGGATGTAAATGACTAATTAATCTTCGAAATTTTTAACGCATAAAACAAATACACAAGCCTAATCCAATTCCTAGAATCAAAATCAGTTTTACGGGCCAATTTAGAACTTCCAGGCAGTAGCCAAGTTGCATTGAGCAATCGAGCAGATGCTAAAAAACTCATTTATTTGGGAACAGAGCGTAAAAAGTACACACAAGAAATGAAAAATGGACTAATTATGTGTTTTTAGCCGCCAAATCAAAAGTGTCGCCCTACTGACAACCACCGGTACTGTCCCACAATACCTACGGCGGTCTATGTAGGCGCTAAGCCGAAAAAGTTTTGCTGCCATGTTCAACTTTATACTACGCGCTTGAAAATAAAAAAAATATTACACAAACATTTGGAGTTTAAGTGGTTAAGATCACGCATTTTTGAGGCATTCAGAACGGCTTTTGGTACATCATGAAAGCCCGCCGTCAAACTTTTCCATGGTGGGGTTACTTCCAGACCCTTAATAAAACCTGCGCTGTAAAACTGCTACTGTTCGGTCAATAAGCGAGACTTTGAAGCAATTTTGCTGGAAATCAAACCCTGCCTTTTGCATTGCGTGACCAAATAGTAGGCCTGAGAAAACGGTCTTCTCAAGTTGTAAAGGAGAGAGGAACTGAGCTAATAAAGGATTCAAGGGAGGAGAATCTACACATTCTCTCCTTATCACAAAAACAGACGTAGCGGAATTGGGTTAAACAAAACTAACTCCATTTAACAGGAAATTAGACAGTGTACCGAAAGTGAGTTGATACACTGTGGGAGGCCTCCATATAACCGAGTTATGACAGTCAAAATAGTCCAGAACTTCAAGGATGTGCAACAAAATGATGTATGGAAAGTGAAGAGGCAGGTGGGAACAAGGGGACATCGAAGAGGAATGCGGTTTCGAATTCCTCAGCGGAAAGCGGACTTTCGGTTCAACAATATGGAAAATGAGGTTCAAAACAAATTGAAGCCTTTGAAGCAGCAGTCCTTTCTCGGCGGTACAAAAGAAATCGACATTGCCTAGAAGTAGAAAGGCTTGGGCAGGCCTAAGTCGTTGTCCTCATGGCGTTCTGAGGACAGTCAGCCAATGCGATTGGGGCATAACTCCTCTCAGCTTCACATTTTTTCAAAGCAACTGAATCGCAATCTGGGCAAAAAATACCATCACGTGGGCTACCATCGGGTGCCTCCTCAAAGGAATGTGGCATTTATTATGCTAAGGATAACAATAACAACATATTCCTGAGTTGCTATGACTGCAACACTTTCAGAGAACGAGAGGCTATGTCAGGAAATGACAAGCAATTTCCACAATTCAGCAGAGTTACTTCTCTTTGTTCAAACCTTTGAGGACTAAGTTACTACCTAAACGATATGATGGTGGTGATGAGTCAATGATTGGGAAAGAAAATAAAAGATGGTGGTGAAGCGTATATTTCATTTGTACCACAATTGAAGGATTGCACAGTTAGATGAAAATCGCATTTAAGTGAGAGCACAAAGTTAAGAACTACTCATTCTCCCTCTCCGCTTTTGGATTCCCCTTGTTGATGCTGGGCAATTTCTCGATTGAGGACATGGACTGGCACAAGCCTCCGACAGAGTAGAGTTTTAATTATATATTATAGGAAGAAAGAAAAGATTACAACTTGCGGAGCAATCAGGACAGAGACATCCTGCTAAGCAGTAGAACCAAGTTTATCTCCCTGCACATCCTACCACCCAATACAATCCCTGACAGATAGAGACAAAGCATGGGAGGGAAGGCAGTCAGTTAGATTCGCCACGATAGCAGAGGCATCATGATCTTTTTATAAGGCAGGCTTTGCTTGTCAACACGGAATGACAAAATATTCACCACAATTTATCCGATGAATCTTTGGAAAATATTCTCTCAAGCGAGAGAACTACATCATAAAATTGTCGATTCGTGTAGCCTTTCAACTGACAGTTAAATAGTCGTCAATTACTAAGACAAAGACCTAGCAGAGCCATACCAAATGTCACCTAGTTGGCTGTCAATCACAGACTGTGAGGCGCAGGGTGGGGTGGGGGGTAAAATTTAAGTGCCTCCTTGAGGTCAGTGAACTAACAAGACGTGGTATTTTCGAGAGGCCGAGATTTGGTAGAAATCCGAAAGAATACGGGGCTGACTGAGCATCCTGTGGTGAAGTACAAGTGCGAAATTCCAGACTGAGGGAACAAAATTGCCGTTCCCCTATGACGTGAGCAAAAATAAAGAGCGCAGGAATGGAAGGAGGGAGAGAGAGAGGGAAGGAGGAGAGTGATTACTCACGAGGCCTGATTTGCGCCGTAATTGTCGTATGCAGAGCTGGCCGAGTAGTCGGAGGGCGTCTGGAACGAATTGACGGTGTTGTCCATTTCCTGTGAAAGCATCGTTCCGCTAACTGAAACACGAGAAATAAAACATTTTATTTAAAAGTTCATTCAAAAAATAAGGGTGAGAAATTATGATTGAGCCAATGTTTTATTGCCCAGGTCAGTCCAAAGAGGAAGAGGGAGTAAAGGGACTATGTGACTAATGGAAGCCGAGGAAGTAGCATCTATTGCAAGGCTTTTTCCCATAAAAATGAGGGCGTGCTAGGGAAACGAGGAAAACTCAGATAACAACAACAAACCTGGCAGAGATAGATGGTCAAAATCTCTCAGAAGTCTTTAACAAGTCCTCCTAATATCTGGTATAAATCACTGAGGACAAACATGGCCCCTGAGATGATTATTTAGGCGAGAAAAATTAACCGAAGTGGGATTGACCGGAGGAAAAACTCTTCATATGCTGTAAAAGTTTCCGGTTTATGAGATAAATAATTTCTAAAATTAGCGTTGTTTCACAAAATGGGTTTAAATTCGTTGGAAGTCGCCTCGGCATTGAGGCGTAGCACCATCTAAAGCCGAGATAGAAGTTCAGGATTTTGACAAACTTAATGCTCTTTCAAGTAGGTAAAAATGGGAGGCACTTGATTTTTTAGATAAACAAGCGTCCTAACAACCATTTGCACAAGACACCTCATAACATGACCTCTTCAAGTGTCATTGAAACGTTCGCATGCCAGTTGGTTGATGTATTTCGGAATCGGGGCCAATAAACGGATGGACAGAAATAAGTACGCCCTTTTAAAAGGTAGAATTGACCGGATGAAGCATTTCACCCGGGTACATTAATATCCTTCCTTCCAATGCTGAGTATGTTGAGGGGAAATCCAGTCGTCACTTCTGACAGTCGATGTGACAGTGATTGGGAATGGGCAAGCTAACATTGAGGCTAGGATACTTGCAAAACTGGTGATAGACCATTGAAATAATTTATACCTATAGACAATAGTTGGAAAAATAAATTTGTCCAAAAACAGAAATAAGATTCATGGTTTACTGTCACGGGGGGGGGGGGAGGTAACTGGTTGATGGCTAGGGCATGAAACATTACGGTCTGGAGGAAATCGTACCCGAGGTTCGACACTTAGATTACCCGGTCCCAAGTGAAGCTGTCATTTGGTGATTTTAACAACCAGCCAACTCCAACTCAAGTAGCCCATCTCTACGTGCACGAATGGACACGCTGGAGGTAAATAATTTATCCCGCGAATAACTAATTTTTTAACTCCCTTTAGTGAATGTGAGTCAACAACTCCCAACACCATGCGAAAGATAGAGTTGGTCGGTTGGTTGGTCTGTAGCGGCGCCAAGAAACTAGATACTTCTGCTGCCGCGGTCCGTAAAGTGCTAGCTCCTACAGAAATGAGGGGATAAAGGTAAGAGGATCTCAGGTTAGACACCAGATGGAGCCAGGTGTCAGTCCACACCCCACGAGGGTATCCGATACCTCCGAAAAACCCACGAATTTCTTTGTCCAAGGCTGGGAGATAGCGGTGATACTTGTACTCCGCGGATAAAAAAAACAGAACAATGTGATATGCATTGTTGTGCAGGTAGCCTCACAGCCGAATACCGCACAATTGTGTCAACTTCACAGAAGATTACTGTGGTTCCTTACTGACAAGTGAAAGCATTACTTCCGTTGAATGTCATCCAATTCATCGAACCTCCCCTCCCCTCAAAAACAAAACCGTTAAACAAGTGACAAATGAGGAGATTTCCCCCAAAACCCAACACTGACTTGATTACTCCCAATCAACATTCAAAATGGCCAACCAGCACTTTCAGCTTAATTAAAAAGGAAGTGAATGATGACAGGGAAGATGACTGCGAAGCATAGAAGTTCATGAATGTGCGGGGAAAAAATCTTCATTAAATCTTCATGCAATAAAGCAGCCGAGATAAAAAGGGACGCAATGAGTTAGTCTTGGCTCAGTACCCTTAGTTCAAAAAATCCATCAAAAATCGGCAAAACCACGAATAATTTAGTGAATGAAGTTTCATAAAGTAAAATTCGCTTTTCGATGAAAAGACCGAAAATGTATGCGTGAAGGAGTTGATTCCTCTCTGCAGTGGTGTGCAGCAGACAAAATTTGTTAGGGTTTGGGGGCCAATTTTCCCATCAAACTGTAGCATCAATTACAAGGAGGGAAAAATTAAGCAAATTTTTATCAAAAATGCATCAGCCGACATCAAAACTTCAATACCGACCGACCCTCCGTCCGGTTGGACTGTCAGACTGTTCGACAGGATTGAAAATGGGAAAAGTAGCAACGTAAAGATGAAGAGAACTTATCCCGATTCAGCAGCAATTAAGAAGAGGCTGGAGAGGGGAACACGAGGTGCTTTTTGAACCACAAGTGAAGGGAGGGACACTGAGGTGGTACATGTGGGATGCAAATTCACCTCCTCCCACTGTGGCCCGGTGAGAAGAGCAGGCATAATTAGTGTTGTTTAAGAGGTGAATAAAAAGCGAAGAGAATATAAGGTAAGGAAGAGAGAGAGCGTGTGTGTAACTTTAGCAACTAAACTCCACACTGGCGCCAAAGCAATCACGCTAACTGTGAGGTGATTTGGCAAGGAGGAGACTTCCCATCTGCCTTCGGCGCCACCTATGACCAACCGTTGTAAGAGGTAGGGGGGGGGGAGTTAAGGAGAGGAGTAAACACCTCTTTGTAGGTGCGATAGGAAGAAACTCTGCAGCCCTACCCACCAAATGACCTCTTATCGAAAGACCCCATCGTCTGACTTCCCATTACTAAAATGCCACAACCTCTGACGCACGATTGAAATCTCAACAGTTACCGACCGGTAGCCTCGGGTGCGTCAAATCCGCCGCTGAGATGGGACTAAAGCCAGCGCCCAGTAAAGTCTTGTCTGCGGCAAATACGAACCGGAACACCTCGATTATGGTAGGATTATTCTCCTTAGGTTGGCACCGTGTCAATCCACCTTAAAAGCGCTTCTACTCTTTCCTTCAAAACTGAGATTATAGCATTAACTTGATGTAAAGGAACTTGAATAGCTGTCAATGTTTAAAAGGCAACTAAATGGGGTGAATCGGTTGGCGAAAGTGTGACAGCAGGACCTGTCAGCCACAAGCTGAATTGAAGAGAAGCGAAGTTAGTGATTTACTTCTACTCGGAGGCATAAACAAGCATCTTGACCTACAACAGTATCGCGTGAGCGACGAACTGGATGACATCATCTTGAGGAAGTCGCATGGCTATTTGCAATTGTTTAAGACGACTGATAATTTTGGATGCCTGAAAGTATTCTTCAACCGCTTGAAGGACCAGAGCATCGGGGACGAGAAATGAATGCCTTTCCATCGTGCCGCCTAGATGGATGAGTAAGATAATAACAAGGCTCCTTCGCACTGAACATACACACCAAGATCGGTGGAACACTCTGTCAAGCTGACAAATGTTTAATTACCAACATAGGATTTACGAAAATCCGAGAAACTGATAAAAATGTCACAAGGTCTATGGGCCTCTCATCTCTACTCCCATTCAAGACAAATCGAGGTTCTAATCAGATAAATTTAAAGAAAAAGATGTGAGAGTCCCGTATTTTAGCTACCCATCCATCTTGAAGCAACCAAACTTTCAGTTGGCTGAACCAGGCTTCATTATTGCCAGCTAGCTAAACAGCAAGCCATAGTGACCGTGACTGTTTACACCCGGTGACACAGGTGCACATAATTTCCAAGGCTTCGGTTTACGTCTTTAAAAACCTAGGTAGTTGTAAGTCCAGGCACTTTGTTGCGGAGACCTACAAAAGGCGATTTTGAATGCGTTCTCGCCTCTATGGAACTCTGTAGAGCGACGGTACGAAACTTTGTGGAGTAGCAAATCTAGAGAGGGAACTCACTTCTGTCAAGACATTTGGAACGTCAAATCAAACTACGAAGCAGAGCTCAAATTGGATGCGACTGTCAGGTGCGAATCACCTTTTCGGCCAACTCTGATCAATGCTACCTTATGAGTTTTCCGAGGAAAAAAAGGAAGGAGTTGGATGCAGAATTGGGGGGAAAAAATAAGCGTCTTCCTTCGCACACACAATAATTCTAATTATCAAGACCACATTGTTTTGTGAGCGAAAATAATCAAATTTGTATAGACAAAAGGCGTCAAGCGAATCCACTCCTGAAAATCGCAAACCCTGTTTTACCTTATAGGGGTTTGACGAATTCTTCCCTGAGATAAAAACTACCGTAAGCATTTAGCCACCTGAGATAGTAAAGAGGATTCAACCCAGAGATCTAGAAAATCTTAGCTGAGTAGCACATATGGGGAAGGTGTCTAAAGCACTAATTACCTGCCCAGGTGTTTTAATTATGCAGTTCCAACCACAAAACCAGCAATCGCCATCTCACCAGCACCAGCTGTTGCAGCAACTCAGGTGAATTTAAATTAACATCTTCTACGACAGTAAAAAACAATAAGCCTACACAATGCAGGCTACCTTCCCCAAAAAACAATTTGAAGAGACAACAACCTGCTATTCAGGGAACATTGAAGGAGCCAATAGTTAGAGAGCGCGAGTGGGACGCAAAAAACAACTTGGCGTTAAAAGAGTGAAAATATTGTGTCAATTTTCATCTTACTACCTCATTTTTCTGCACGATGACAACGGCGACTGACAAAACCAAAAAAAAGACCTCCAACAAGAGTACAAAATTATGGCGCACCTACTGCTAAATAAAGTGGAAAAGGAGGTCTGAAGGTGAAAACAATTTTAAAATGACTGGGATTGTGAGAACACAGCCTCGAACAAGGCGTAGGAGGGAGTTGTCATCACGGAGGTGCGCAACAAGTTAGGGATTTTAATTCATTTGAGGGAGACAAACCAACTACACATGACCTTAAGAACCAGGCAGCATCATGGTAGATAGCTGACAAGCACCGGGCTAGAGAACCGTTTAACATCGGCGTTGGCGAGACAAACTGCTTTCCCCATCCCCTGGATAGTGACAGTAAGGCAAGTCAAAACGAAAAAGCCAATTTTGCATGCATTTCACACCGCGATTCCAGTCGGAGAGAGGGAGACAAGGCCGTCCGCAACCACACAATTAATGGCCAAAAGGAGAAACTCTTTTTTCTCCAATCTAGATTGATAATTAACACCCGAAATTTGGTAATTATTTACGTCTACCGAATCTTGGTTAAAGAAAGTCATCATTAATTTAATGAACTGGGGAAGTAAAATTTATGTGCTAATGAAATAAGTCTTTGACAAATCGGACACTTTAAACATGCTTTGGAAAAAAAACTTGCTCAATTCGCTAGTTACATGAGTTAATTATAAATAATCGTAACATTGAGAGATGAAATGGAGCTATCGAGCTTCATGGGGAAAGAGGAAAAAAAGAAGCAGAACTAGACATTCCTCGTCGGGGCGTTCATCCATCCAACGGCTCCGAACACAAAGTCTAGGCAAATGTCCACATTTAATCAAATCATAAGAAAAGAAAAGGACTCGATTCGTCCGATAATGATGGTTGTTTGTCCGCCATAGGATCCTAGGCTTGCACACTTTTTTTCATCATCGCTTAAAAAAGTGAACATCGAAATCATTCCAGTTATATCAATAATGGAAAGACATTTTGAGTCGGCTTTAAAGGCGCCTGAAACAAACGGAGGAAGATAGTAATAACGGGCATTGTGATATACAAGAATCGGCAAAATGCCATGGACAATCAATGACAGCGAAACTGTATGACTTGAATGTCAAAGCTGGGGTCAAACCACGGACATCGCCTATTGATCACCTTGGCTGTACCACAGGTGAAAACAGACTTGACAAACTGAGACAAGCTACGACCTCCATTTAATTGTTTTGGCGTTTATCAAGGCCGCCCGAGCCAAAGAAGCCTCCGCCGACAGACGACATGACGAAAACAAGCTATGGCAAACACGACATCCAGGAGGATGAAAAATAACTTTTCTTGCAACTCTAAAGTCACAACCACATAAATTTTATGCAAAAAGCGCTTTTTGGCTGAGTGTTCGAGACACAAACGTTATCACCGTATTTACCAGTGGAGTTGTGAGAGATGGCTACGTCCACCGCAGATTCGGCCGAGCGTTTCACTCGATAGTAAACAATGGGGCGCACTCTAGAGCTGTGAGGTTATCAATGCAGTCTGAGTTTTTTTTCGAACTTGGGGAACGTCAAAACAGCTTAAACGACAGAAAGGTGGGGAGAAAAAAAACAGGTGACACTGTTCGAAAGCTCCTGGTGAAAAAAATATCCTTCTAGTTGTCGTCGTTTCTCGCTCTTCTTTTTCGACTTCTCGCGAGAGGCGATAAGATCACTTAGCAGGCCAAATGTGGAGGAAATTGAACTGCACGAAACCTGTCCATTACGCATTTCGTGCTAAAATCGCCATAAACTACAAAACCACTACCCGTTAAATAGTAAAATCGGTCCGAAATCAACTGACAGTGTTCATCTGGTGCGACGTAAACGATAATTTCACCCAGCACGAAGGTTTGAAGGTTTTATTTGTACTGGAAAAAAAGGGTGGCGGCAACTCAAGCATAGGATACAACAGACTCTTTTTTGAGTCATTAAAACAACCACATGTGAAGAGGTAAATGTAGACGTATTTGAGTATCTGCTAAGATCAAGATATAACATATGGAGGAGGTATGAAAACGCGGGTAATGAAAAAAACGAATGTTCAAAAAGGTCTTCACCTGTCTAGCAGTAAAGAGACGATAAGGCCAAGGCATATGCCACTTTTAGCCACATAGCAATCAGGGAGGTGGATGCACAACAATGATGCTGTCAGTGGTGTGTGTGTGCTAGTCAAAGACAAATGGAATGTCCTCACAGCCTCCAGTGTCCCCCTGCGCAGTATAAGCTGGCGTATCTCCACGACCAAGTCACACACACCCAAGCACGGCATGACTCACAGATGACACGCAGTACAAAGCACCAAGGAATTACTTTAACGAATACACGAGACCGTCTGACATGCAGGCGCTGCCTCATCGCAATAAACGGTAGTGGGTCTCAGAAGTCCACAATTGCATGGACTTGAATAACCCCATTGTAGCCAAATTTTGATCCATAGGAATCAAACCTTCCTGCCTTCTGCCATAATGCACTCGGTTGAAAGTATGGAATCCAACGTTGTGGCTAAACCAGCTATTCACAGTTCTCGGTGTAGAGACGGTGGCCATGATGCACCCAGAGAAGGCAAATATCTTATAACCTCGTAATAACTGCAACTTTAGTACAACTTGATTTAAAAATCGCATTGGTGGTCGTCAGGTACAAATACAAAAGGGTTATTTTCCCCAAAAATGTAACGTCTTGGTCATTACTTTGTCAATACAAGAAGAGGCGAACTAACACAGCCATCATACCAATGAGGGAAAGCATTGGGAGGTTACCAGCTAAATTAATTAAACAAATTCTACTGTAGTTTCAAGAAATGAGATTTAGCACGATGGCGCTTGTCAAAGAGTAGGAGGATGAGAATGGCCTTCATAAATTTAAATTAAATTAAAAGGATGTGTTAGGCAAAGGAAGCAAAACCAACGGGATAAATAGGCGAGACAAATCGACCTGGCCTGAAAAACCTGGCATAGGAAATTGGTAAAAGAATAGTGAAACATGTTTTACTAATAAGATGTGAAGTTTACTGCCAACGAGGGTGGGTCGATACGACAGTAAATAAAAAACTTTACAAAGATCTCAAAATAAGACGATTGGTAAATCAAGAATCTGGAGGTTGAACGTTAAATTAAAGTAGCTGTTACCTACAGCCATAAAGTTGTTTAGAAGCCCCAAATATTAACAGAACAACAAGAAAAAGCTTTACAAAGGCGAATTGTTTTGGTCAAAGTCTGAGGGACTAAAAATTTGCGGTCCATAAGGAAGTTTGTAAGTCACAAAGTTGTCTATAAAATAAGTCCAGATTTTAAAGCACTTAAGAATTGACCACAACAAATTAAGCGCAAACCAAAATAGCCAAAAGTAAAAAGCAACATTTCCGGTCTTTGCAAATGCAGTACTATGAGGTCCCTATGTTTTCGTTTGCATAGAAGAGTAGACAAAACAAAGCTTGGGTCAAACTATCACACAAGCATAAGATTAGTTGCAGAAAGAAATTCAAAATTCAAATTTTGACATTAGCATACGAAAAAGGCAAGGAAGCAAACGCCTCCTTTGCAAAACACTTTCCAATGGTAAACGATAGTTTGAATAAGCTGCCGCGTCACAAAATGCATCGTAACCAGGGCATACTTACCATCATTGCAAAACAAAATTATTGATACAGCGAAGATGATGAAACAGTGCAGTGGACACGCCTTCCAAAAATTAATTTTGAGTGTCGTCATTGTATCTCCAAATAGACTATACAGTTGCAATTAATCCCAGTGGTTAGGATCGAGAACCATACTGGCAATAATTTTAGGCCTTTAAAATAAACGCATTCACTAAAACCATACTCTGAGCTGGCGGAACGGTGCAGGCACGGGAACCCGCGAACAAGCGATAGAGGGCGAAAGGGGGAAATCGAATAGCTTTCAAGGCCACATGTGTCCCCATCAAATGAATTCTTGAGAAATTCAAACGCGTGTCCATATTGCATGATATTGCCAAAGCAGATAGTAATGCCAATACTTGTTTAACGCAAGAAGCCTAATATGTGCTGGTTAAAGTAGGTAACTGTCTATAATTAAAGTTCAAAGAAATCCCATTTAAGGTTTACTATACATTTATCCAAAGCCTTTGAAAAACGGTTAATTTAGCATCAAACCTATAAAGAGAGGGCAAAATGCAAATTTTGGAAAAGGAAATTTTGGGGTTTTCTAATCGGCTAAAGTGACTGTGCAAAAATTTAGATGTGTTTAACTCACGTCTTTGACCGACAAACCACACAGGTAGCATCTAACACTATCACCCAGGTATTATATTAACCTTTGTTTGCATGAAAGTTTCGAGGTGCTACAACTGCAAGTGTGGGGCGAGGCACACAGGTCCCCTCTTCCCTGCTCCTAGTGTTCTTAGAACTACGCGGTTAATTGAATTTTGACATATTTGTTAGAGGGAAATGATCAAGAAAAGAAGTATAAAGTTTGGGTAGGAGAGAAACCGCAGTCGCACTCAGGCAAGGGAGAGGATGATCCTGTCACCAGATTCGAATTACGACCTTGCCTCTACCCTGAAAGGTACACTTAAACAACACAAGTATTACACAAGACTAGATGCCATTGCTTGCAAGCTTAATGAAAAATCAGTACTCAATATTTCAGTGAATCGCAGCAAACCAAAGCCACAATAAAAGGTTGCATTGTACTAAGACAACAAACATCTAGTCTTCTTAATCTTCTTAAAGTCGTAGGAAGTCACAGTAGTACAGCAGAAGATACATCACTGACGGACAGAAGAGTTGAGGCTACTGGCACTGACTGCTGACCATTTTAGTAAACGAAAGTATAATCTGCAAATGCTTGACTTATGTGTTAATTTAATCTAAGCACAAGGCCGAACAAACTGATCAAACATTATGCAGCTCCCCCTTATTTGATTGTCACACTCGGCGCTCCCTTTAGTTAACTACTGGGTCAACATCCACATGGTAGTCGAATCTATAAACAAAAACACCCCAAAGCAGAGATTTTTAACCCTAACGGGACTCATCCGTCTCGGTAAATTCATTGGATTTAATGTTTTATACAGTTTTAATACTGCGTTAGGGGTACAAGATTGCGCGGTCTATCCATTTACCCTGGGAGACTAATTTCCCATTGTTTTTTCTCAAGGTATAAACATTTTCCCAAAGTAATTCCAGTGGTTCAAGGATTACACACGCTAGAGACTGCACTTACACAACGGGGCTTGGATTACAGGCCCTGTTTATGGCCTCTAAGACCATGTATAGGCTGACAATCCTTGTTTTTGCACTTATTTAGCCTGTGATTGGGTTAGGATTGCGTAGTGAGCGAAAAACTACTTTAGTTGTAGTACAAAATATTGGGACTCTGCTTCAAGGCATCCGCAACAAAATATTTTTTTAAAAATTTTGATAGTTTCGTGCTTTGGTAATAATATGCTACAGGCTGCGAGTATCCAGGAAAAAAAATAGATAGCATAATATTGTGGATTGCATTTACAAATTTATAAGTACAAGATAACCCTGCATAGTTACGAAAACCGCACAAGCAAAAATAATTTTGCTTAAAATTTACTTTTTCCGAATTTTGCTCAAAATATGCTCGACAAGCTGCTAAGCATAATATTTTTTTAATTCGTTCCTCTTTTCTGACTTTAGCGTGCTCAAGGTGTGGCGGCCATTTTATAGTCCTGGGATGGCAGCGTTAACTCGTGGTGAAAGGGAGTTGCGAGAACGACTTGATACTGTAGGTTTTATTTAATAATCCTTACACATTATAGCATTTTAAACCGCCGTTTGAAAGCGTGAGTTTTCGCTTTCGTTTTAACGGCCTATCCTGTAGTATGAAAGGGAGGGTGGAATGCCACTTGACGTACTTCAGCGACTTTTAAATGAATCAGACATACCACCCACGAGGACGAAGAGATTTTTTAAAAAAGCTGATGTAAACTGCGATCAACGCGTTAATTACGACGAGTTTCTGCGTCAGGTTTGTTTTTCAATTTTTCTGGCTTCGGAATATGGACTTGTGCAACATTTCCTTCTCATTAGTTAATATTCAGGAACATTTTAATGCAAGACGTCTTCATACCTTGTGTGCTAATGATAATATTAACAGGTGCTTCAGTGAGATTTCGTGGTCATGTATATTTGCAATGTCCAGCATTTTTAGAAGTTATTTTAGTTTTTATGTTTGCCGTACACGGATAAATGAAAGTGTCACTAAGTGAATGCTTTATACTAGAGAGTCGAATAATGCTAAGGCTACCGGTTTTTGGTTAGGATGGGTCAGATATTTGTTTCTGTATCACTTAAAACAAACATTCAATTCAAAGTACTTCTCCCAGTCCTAAAAGTGATTATATAAAAAACTTTTAAGATAATTCACACTGATCTTTATCGTTTAGTAACGTAGTGGCACTATTTTTGGCAGAAAAGTTACTCTCTTCTGAAATTTTAATCTTTAGATCATGTTCGAGGATAGCGCATTTTTGCAAAAGCTTGCCTTTGGATCGATCGCACTCAACAAGGCCGTTATTGCTGTCGCGCCCCAGACAGCTCGTCGTAAACAGCGGCTACAAATGCAGAAAAGTGGTATTGACGAGACTGACCTCTATAATTGGGGTGAAGCTGATGTGAATAACTACATTGAAGCCTATGACTGCCGTCCGCCTCCTATTTTCATTCCTTTCATTACCTTTGCTCAGGTACGTTTGCGCATACACTATTTCCACACATAAAAAGCAGTCGTAGATCGAGCGGCTATCCCAGCGCCCCTTTGCGCCAATTGTATTTTAATGCTCTGCGATTTTATGATCCGCTAATTCATTTGAGCTCAGGTCGATTTGAAACGATATTTACAAATTTATAATTGGGCAAATAGTTGGTGGGCTTAAACGCACAGAATGGTTTCATTGTTTACTTGTCATTTGTGACCTTACACCCACATTCCGATCGTGACTGGGTCCTCTTTTACCCATATTGCAAAGCCGAGCTCTGTCATGTGTGTGTGTGTGTCTGTAAATATGAATAAATTACTTCAAATTAACATATTTCGATCTTTGTACAATATTTTTGACGAAAATGGCCTCTATTGTTACATAATTGTGCATGATTATATAACATTTTTGGTATCGACCGGGTGACCTTTTAAAAGAAGTGAAATTCGCTGGTTTCTTTTGTGTGATTTCTAAGCCCTGTGCCAACTTGACTAAGCAATGTATCAGGTAATTAAGAAAAATGGGTTTATGAACCTATAGGTCAAGGTGACCTTGGGATACAAAGCACGGAATCGGGGTCCATGGCCATTATGGGTTGCGCTAATACTAGCCACAGTTTTTCATTCCATTTTTTCAAAGTTCCTTCCCAGGTGTTGATGAGACTGTCGTGGGTGTTTTTCTTGTCAAAATAAAATCCGCTAACCTGATTTATAATAATCTTTACATGCTGTCAAGCAGAATGCCTGTCACCCTCACCATTGAGATGAATCTAGCTTCATGCTTGCAAATTCCAAAGTGTTAGCACGTTTTGGCTGATATGCTTGAAAACAAGCATGCAAAATGCCCATATGGGAAACTATTTGGAGAGGTGGGCTGCAAAACATCTACCTTTGCGACTCACTTTCAGATAGCCGTATTCACCTACTACGCAGTCGTTGCAGCGCATGATGTAGACCCTTTCAACGATGTCACCGCCTCCTCCGGTGTACCCTTCTACAGTCCCCTCATTTACCTCCCACAAAAGCGCTACCAGGCCTGGCGTTTCCTCTCCTACATGTTTATACACAACGGCTACGTCCACCTCATTTTCAACTGCGTTCTCCAACTGGCTCTGGGCACATTGCTCGAGCTGGTGCACAAATTTTGGCGTGTGGGTATCGTCTACCTCCTCGGTGTCGTTGCTGGTAAGTTGGAAATGATAGCCCTATTCCTCGCCTTGTTGTGTTACTTCTAGTCACTGTCAAATGGCCGTTTCCCCAACAAAAACTATCATTTCTTTTTTATTTTCCCCCTATGATGGAGATCTTAATGAGTACGATGATTTGTGGCAACTTTGGCACAGGGAGAATTTGCGTGCTCGCCAGGCTTCAAAGGCGCACGATTTGGATTTGCCCGTTTTAAACAACCATTCTCCTCTCTTTAAAATGGCCATTAGTCGCACAATCTTCCCGACCAGGAGTAAGAATCTGCGATGCTCATCATTATAAAAGTCAGGGAAAAGGAAGCTTCATTGTCAGTTTTGCACCATTTGATTAAAAACTCACATCATTGGTACAGTGGTACAGCGGCGGAGCCCCAGTTGTCTCTTCACCAAATCCAAGAGGCAAACAAGCAATTGAAGTATTACATAGCCCTTTTCCTCTTTTAAGCATCGTTGATAGTTCGTTGTGACCTCTGCGTGCACAGTGCCTTGCGTCACTTCATGGAAGTACAAAGGTCATGCGACTTTACCACGTGCTTTGGTACTAAACTGTAAAGTTAAGGGCGCAATAGTACACTTGCCATCTGGTTATATTCTTCTACTGAACAGTCCGTATCAAACTCGAACTTGGTGGCCTTGCAACCCTCCTATTAGATGACAGCGAGGGTCGTAACTAATGTTAAATAAGTGGGTGGACATACCTAGGGACCTACGTTCCGCGGTGACTTTTAAAGGCACAAGTAAATTTTGAGATGTTTAACGCAGATGTACTTCAAGCATGCATTCATGTAACACTATATTGTCTCCAAAGAAATCGTCCAAATAATGGAAGGTACGATTTCCTCATGCTCCTTTAGTTGATTAGTCGATTGAGAAGAAATTCACACTCCGTTCTAACTGGTCAATCGCGAAGAAGATCATGTACCCTTCTGATTCTTTAATCATGGGTTTTGTATCAGAACCTGAGGGAGAGAAATTGACATTTGATAGTTTCCCTTGGTAATTAGGGTGGATCTATAAAATAATTCACAAAATTATTTTACTTCCTTTCCGATTTCTAGTTCTTTAAAAACCCCACTACCTGTGAAGGCCAAAAATCCAGTTGGGGACGCAACTGGGTTTTATATCACCTCCAATTGGAAGGGTGGAAGTGAAATAACCTTAGTTCATACTCGGCCAAAATAAAGTTGGTTTCAGGTCAAGCTTTCAGCGCATGACAGCACGAACTGTTTGGTTCAGCCTTTCCCAGCTGCCACAAGCGAATAGCCCACCTTCCCGACTGCCTTTCATTGAAGTATATTAATGTTTTTCATGTCATTTTTAAGGAAAAAATGAATGTCAGTTTGACATAAGGACTACACGAATCCTTCGACCAAGTCACTTTGCTTATGTTCAAATAATCTCAGCTACATTTCACAGGCTGATGATTGAAACTCCTTCTCGCCATGATTACTTCCGTTTGTCAGTTTTAAAAGTGACAAACGATCGCAGCAAACCAGCTGGATGACTCAAATACACACGATAGTGCCTCTTCATTTCAGAGGCGCCTTAACCAACCCCACCCCTTCTCACTTAAGTAAATACGTATTTTGTTGGAGTGGTCATGCATTCCCGTTTTTTTGAGCCTATGAAGCCCTGGCGCACACTTGTAAAGGGTATAAGTACCACAATTCCTGCTCCTAATACCAAACCACCTTGCAAGTATCCCACAAAAAATAAAATAGTGATGTCACTGTAGTTTTTTGTGGATACAGTGTGCATTATCATGGAGATAACAGGCTAGACACAGACAAAAACGAATTTCACTTGGTTGTATTAATCATCCCGTTCCACCTCATTCCCGGCCTCCCCCTTGCCATGTCACATCCGGTGGTCGCAGAATGGTTGCTTGAATAGCCCCAGACATCTAAAATTAGCTTTAACAATATTTGTATCCACTACTATCGCCATTTTCATTGTGTTTAACAGGATCCTTGGCGCATTCAGTAAGCGATCCCTTCATTGCTTTGGCTGGTGCCAGTGGTGGCTGCTACGCTCTCATTGGTGCCCACGTGGCTACTATCATCACGGTAAGTAGTATTCTCGTACAGAGATGAAGTGTAGAGAGCTGATTATCTCTCCGTTTTTAAGATTTAATAATAATTCATGCTATTTAACAACTCTGTTTTTAAAAGAATGGTGAATATAACATTAAAATATGAGAATTCGAATGAGTGTTTAATGCATCAGTTGAATGACGCGTGGGTGGTTCGCTTATCGCGGTAGTAAGTTTTTGTGCCAGTTTATTCAGAAGAAGCACATTACTGCGATAAGTTCGCGATAAACGAAGCACCACCCACCCATCATCCGACTGATGTGTAAATAATGCTTTTGTCCGAAACATCCCGGCTTCTGATTATTCCATTGGGTAACACACGTGTGTACTTGTAGTTGGTTAGTTAACATTTTGCTGTCCCAAATTTTTCTCATAGTCGTAAGAGGTGGAAAAAGCACTAATTACATGCAGAAGAGCTGAGAGGCGTCTGGCATGCCCCAGAGGCCATACCGCCGAGTAGACGTACACTGTCGGCGGCGCCTTAAGCGTTCACGCAAACAGATACAGCTTCTCAAACCATTACAATATTTTGTATAGTAAGGTTACTTAATAGGTGAATTGAGCCCTTAATATTGGCACCGCTTTTGTTCAGAATTGGAAGACAATGCAAGCTGGATGGCTAAAAAATCCCATGAATTTCCTCTCCAGTGGAGCTGTCCGTCTGACATTCATTCTCCTTCTCGGTGAGTGGTGCTTGAATGCTTGATCCGGCTGTCTGTTCCATCAACACCAGGTCATCTCGAGTGATTTGCCCTATTTAGAAGCAATAGGTTATAAAAGCAATGTGGTGGTCAAATGGGTACTTGGATCGTGTCTCGGTTCCCCATCTACACTATGAAACACTTATGAATGTCACTGCCTCAACAATGATGTGCACGAATTTTTGACCCTCTCGTGATCCCTCAAGCTCTTCCAATGTCCAACGAGTCTGTATAGATGCGATATTCTCTTACACGACCAACACGACAATAATGTTCCTATTGGTTAAGTTCAAAGGATTGCTGCTGAAGTCACCCTCCCCCACCAGAGCACTTTGTTATTTCAGTCAAGTTGAAAGTGGTGGATGCGTTAGTAACAGCGCCTTTCTGGAAGCTATTACCAAGTTAGGCTGTTACAAGGCGTCTTTCATTTGATTAGTCTTGTGTCTTGAAATGGGTAGCTACAATGGCTTTTTCTACATCCATCATGCACTATTTTTCTTCCATTGTCATGAAAGTGGACTTTGCCATTTCATCGTACTTGCCCCCTGCTTGCATTTCGGCATATCCTGTCCTTTATGTGTGGGTCAAAGATTTAATGTGCATGCACATGACAGCTATAAGGTCAACTGTTAGTTCATTGTCTTGTTTAATGCTGGCAACCGCAGCACCGGGTCTAAAGTTGCCTAGTGAAATTTGTCCAAACACGTTTACTTACTCCAAACACACACATACACACGCATAGACGTGAAGTGGAACTAGTTTTGTTTAAACATGCTTCGCTGTGCAATCAACAAGTCGGTTGTGTGGAGTAGTGGCAGACAAGGAGGCGTGAATGGCTAAATAAGGGCCATTTTTCAGTTTTTTGGCCAATAAATCATCGTTGCCTATTGCAAATTAAGTAGAAGTAATCGAAGAAAGAACGAATTTTGACCTTAGTAATTTTTGCCTTCGTCAAACCTGCATCATATTTCAGCTACTCACACTTTCCCATTGACCTTTAATCCTCGTTTCCTTTTCAAACTCCCCTCTAATTCACAGTGAATATTTCCCAATTCTTTTGACGGTGCCTGTCATGTTCGCTGTAATGATGTCAGTAGCATATGTGTTGGTTGAGGTTTGTTGGACTGAACACGCGTAATGGGCGTTTGGCTCTGTAGTCAAACAGACACTGACTTGCCATTTCACTTGAGTATATACGTTGATTGTCAATGTCGGCAATCGGGAATGACTGTTCCCTAAAGAAGCATCCGTGGCAGGATCTTGCAATAGTCATTAGCAGTAAGATATCGTATTGTAGCAGCATTAGCCGGGTTTTAACCGCATCATCGTTCGAAGAAAGCAGCATCAGGAGTACCCAAACCTAAAAGAGTGCCTTCCTTTTGATATTGCCTGCACGCGAGCATCTTTCGTAGTAGCCAAGATTTCTTTTATTTTCCAACCTATATATCGTCAAAGTGGAAAAACTACAGCCTGCCGTGTGTGGCATTTACGCAGCAGTGCCCAGCGTACTTTTCTCCCTCCCCTGAGGTAAGGCCAGTGAGTGAATCAGCTTAGAGAAAGACCTGGATATGTTTGGGAGGGCTGCTCCAGTAGTAGCATGGCGTGATGCAATGTTGGCTTTATGGATTACTTTCCATTTGTAAATCTGTTGATAGGTACACCCGCTGAGGGTCAGCGTAGACCTTATTTAAGGAGTGGGAGGTCCGCACTGTGCATAGTATTTGGTTTGAGAAGGATGGGGAACTGAAGGAAATGTCATCATCTTCCAGGTTTTGTGTGAACCATTCCAAAAATTATAACTTTAGCCGCCGATTTGCCTAGTTACAGGTTTCCTATTTATTCCTTTCTTTCGGCAGCAGTTATAATGGTTCAGCTGTGTCTGTTTACTTTTGCCCATATGGACAAATGGTCAACTGCAGGCCAAGACAACTAGATTGTCACAAAAAACGGTTTCTAAATTATATCAGGAAACAAAACCCTTTCCACTGACAGCCCGGATTCGTTTACGCATCCGTGCGTGGGCATTCCAGATGTTTGAACGCAGCCATAATCACAGGTTATAAAGTAAGCCAAACCAGAACGGATCCAAAACTGTAGAGGGCTTCTGAAAATTGAGGTAAGTAAACTACAAAACAAGTGATGTATGGTAGCAAATGGATCACTTGACATATCTAACTACAAATTTGAAGTCATTTATTGCTCACTGTGGCCTTGAAAATGTTATCAAGGCATTAGGTTCCAAATTAAACTCTCCTCGAGTGATTTTAAATTGGTTTTTTTTTCTTTTACCCTGACATTTGGTGGAACTCATTCTGTCATGACGCCTTTTGTGCTTCCGCCATTTACAGAAGCCGCATTGGCCGCTGGATATGCAATTAAATAAACAAACCGGATTCACTTGAGGCCTTTCACAAGTCGGGCATTAATAAGGCCACTCGTTAAATCACACAGTTTACTTTGAATTATAAGCTACTGATACATGGGAAGATTGTGGAATTTCGGAATCCTACGCAAAGTGGAGGCGTCGGCACTCATTAGGCATGAAAGCGCGTAGTATCCAAGTGCTGGTATTTAATCTTGCTGCGAATCCAGAAAACATCGAGGTTCGCTCATTACTTCCTAGCCTTAAGATTTGTTAGAACAAGGCATAATTAGTCGAGAAATGTGGAATTTGTTGCACAAATTGTCTTCGTGTGATCGGCACTAATGTGTGTGCCCTGCTGTCTACAGTAGGTGAAGCGAACACGTGTGCGAATGTGCGAGGTGGTCTGTTTGCGAGGCAGTCGCAAGAAAAGCCAGACTTTCTGCCTTCTTCCCTGTGCCAAGTCGATGTTATTTGTAATAGATGTGAGTTAGTTTTCTGCATAAAATGTTTGGTTTGCGAGTGGGTTACACTCGGTGTAACGAAGGTAATGATTGTCGTGTATGCCCATATTTTTTGGCGCATTGGGGTCCTTGGAGGACGCGAAATTGTCCCTCAGCTTTTTCGATTGTTTGGCGTGACGAAGCCTTCAAAACTAGATATGATGCAGACACGGTCAGGAACTAGGGCTTTTCTATTTTTTGTTTTTGTTTCTTTTGTACGGGGACACTTTAAAACTGCAAGCAGTGTATTTTAACGCTTGACTCAGCTGCAAAGGACTGAGTTCTTTGTTTGACAATCCTTTCTGGTCTTGAACTGCCCTGTTACGGTTGCAAGGTATTTAACTAATGGACGTAAAAATACATGAAAGTGTTTATGTTCACCTTACGACTTGTTCCATTTTAAGGTGGCGCTTTACGTCAAGCCTTCATCCAGAGCCGTGGTTTAAACACGAATTTGGAGAAGTCTAAACAGCAAAAAGCTGCGGTTTTCTTCACACGCGAGATGAGTCACAATGACGAGCAGTAGTTGTAATGTGAGTAAGAGACTTTCCTACCGTCGTGATGCGCAGTGAGATGATAAAGCCAGTGCCAAATATGAAGCAGCAACCTCACATGTAGCCCAAACGTCTTGCGACGATATGAGACCCCACAGATTTTCGGACCCGGTGGGGCGGTAACCAAAAGTGAAAGACTTTTTCGATAAACCTTCATTGGTTTTACTTATAGCCGGCGCGGATACCGGATTTGCCATCTACGAGCGGTTTACAAACCCCTCTGTTGCAAAGGTTGGATTTGTTGCTCACCTGGGTGGATTCGCTGCTGGTAAGTCGCACAAATGATAAACAATTAGCAAATCATAATCAAGTGTTTAAGCTAATGGTGACGCTGGTCTACCAACAATTTCATCTCATCTTTAGGCGTACTCGTTGGAATTCCAGTTCTGCGCAATCTGGAGGTGGAACGGTGGGAAAAGGTGTGCTTCTGGGTATGCATTTTCCTCTTTGCAGCATTTATGTCCGCCGCGGTGCTGTTCAATGGCTTCTGCGAGGAGCAAGGCTGGTGTCCTCCCACGGACTGGAGTTAATTCCGCCTCTTTTCCCCTCCCCTCCCCTTCACTCCTCTTCTTCCCTCTCCTCCTCTCTCCTCCAGTCACTTCCTTCACCTTTGTAATATTTGACGCCAAAATCTGTGCATGCTGCTGTTTTATTTCGCCTGCTCGCTTTCTTGTCCTACCCTGTCCAATTTCCCGCCCACTTTGCTACCGTATGCTTTTATATATACACATACCCCGTCGGTAGAATGTACAAGTTCTTGGTGAGTTCATCCATCACGAGTGTCTTATGAGGTGATCACCCGATCCAATTCTAGGCACCTTATTATTTACCATATTTACTACATATTCCAGCTGACTTGCATTTAATCCTATGGGGAATCCAGCCGGTGCTTCCAATGCTCTTATATTTACTCCTCGCGATTTATGATAGTGGAAGAAATTCTACCGAAAATTCTCTTTTATTTGGCTTCTCAATGAGTAAACATATATATTTTAAAATCAAGGAGCCTTTTCATTTAAATGTCTGCACAATGATGAATTTTAGTACCGAACGGAGAAATATTTTACTTGGGAGCATTAAGCAAACGCCCGTCTCGATGCGGACACATTCATCTTTGATAGGGGTAACTCCATCGCTGCGCCGTGGCAAAATGTAAAGCACTGAAGTCATGAATTTTGTTCAGTAACGGCAAGGGAGGCATAAGTATCAAAAAATTCATGGAATTCTACTGTATAAAATTAAATATAATATTTGTAAAGAATTTTAAAGTCTTAGATACTGTGACAGCCACTAACAGACTTCCTTAGTTTCAAAACTAGTAGAAGCTATGATTTGGCACAAATAGGCAGCATATTATTAAAGGCACAGGTTTAGGGTTTGCAAAGTGAATTAATTCAAGGATTAACTAATTAAACAACTTCTAGGTTTATTCGTAATAATAAAAAGGGGGTCTTTTTACAGAACCCCAATTGCCGTTGAGCTTAACTTCATAATTAATGATTCATTAGAGCTTGCAATGAAAATAGAGCAATAATTCATTTGTTTCATTGGTTCAAATACATGGTACTTGACCTTCCGTACATCTGCATCATAACACCGCACATTATGCTCTAGTGATCTCTTGTCGTGATACAAAGGCAAAGAAATGCGATGTTGCCTAAAGTTTGGTGGGATTATCCAGTTTTGGCATTGTACTCTAGTCTTAGCTCTGCAGAGCTACGTACTCGTTCGCAGCATCTTTACGTATATCTCCCTCCGATCCCAAGTCTTTGATGCTCGTCATGGACTTGACTGGGACACAACTCCTCTTCACTTCCTTGTCAACTGCATTGTATTCTCCGCAGCATTCACCATCGCAATGGCCTTTCTGCTCTGTGCCAATACGGATTACTTTGTTTTTGGTTCAGTGTCTCTTAATTCCTCTCAGTTTTATTCGAATTCACGAACTTCCGCCATTTTGGACAATACCAGCAGTAGAACCAATTCCCCGCCCTCAGTGCAAAAAAAGCACAACTATATATTTTCGAAAAATCCTAGCAGTGCCTTTCCTTTTTCCTTCTTATTTCATGTTCTTGGCGCGTATTTTCTTCTCCTTCCGACACCATGGGTGCTAGGAGAACAAGCAAAAAACGAAGTGGTAGATCCAAGTAAGTTATTGCTGTTTTATAGGTAATTTGCTGAAATTATGCCTATTTATATTTGATTTGCAAAAAGCTTAAAATTTTTCAATTCATTAATTAAGTGGTTAGAATTGAATCACTGATTATCCTTGAATAGACGCTGTTAGTAAAGGTCATTAAATGGTAATGAAGCAAATTGATCTAAAAAGATAAATTCAAGTGGACGTGCTTAAAAATAACAACTTTCCAAAACTAAAATTTTGCGGACAAATTTAGTTACAAAAAGTACGACATTTAGTGACTTTTGCTCATTTATCGATTTTCATCTTCCATTTTATTAATCTGACTGGTACGGTTTACTTCATGCGCACTGCTTTACTTGCAGTTTCATCTTCATGTTTACAATAAAAAGCACGCTCGATATGAAAAACAAGTGTCTTGCGCATTTGCAAATTATCGTATTTTGATGCTATAAAATCCACGAAACATGCCAGATAATGGCGTTTGGAGCCCGGTGAAAGAACCTATGCTAATCTTGCCACGGTGCCTTTCCGTGCATAATCTTCTTATTATCCACAGAATGTCCAAACCCATGCCTATTTATGCTCTCATTTAGACGTGTTTATTGATATATTGCACACTCAACTTGGACTGTTCACCCCCACAAAGACTTCAAGGTGGTTATTGAAAATAAACATACAGACTGCAAGAGAATATTCAAAGTGAATTGCTAATTAATCATGACTGCCTTTCTAGACATAATTAAACTGCTCCGCTAAGCCTCTAAGCACTCACAGTCCCAACATGCTGTATTTTGCAGGTGAAAGCATGATACGTCAGTAGTTTCTCTGCTCCTAACGTCTCCTGTTGGCATTTAGTTAGCGCAGACCACGTTGATTCAAGTTGGCACATGGAAGTTGTCGGATACCAAAGGAGGTTAATGAGAAAAAACACCCATAGGGTAGCCATAATGACAAAATTTGGAATACAAAATGTCACACACTGGCTGAAAAGGATATTTTGACCTCTTTGCAGGCTAAACTGCAAGCATGATCCAAAGGCATTTCTATGCATCCATTGTTGAATCCATTTCCGGTATTTTATAAAGCTGCGAAGTTAGACATGGTTGTCCAGTTCTTATCACAAGCTCTCACATAGTTCCATTCGATACCTTTGGCATCCGTTCTGCAGGAAGTGTACTTAGCTAATTCAGTATTAAAATGCCTAAAATGACCGCGAACTTAAAGTAATCATGTGGAAGGAGTGATCTCTGCACTCAATCTCGTCGTATTTTCCCACCAATGTTGGACTAACCTTTTTTGTTCACAGCTTGCATGCTGCTATGAAGCATTCGGATTGGGCGGTCATTTTTTCATCAAAAGGCAGAAAAAAGCATTTCCGCTTTCAACTCTGCTTTTAACTGGCGGTGATACGGTCTCATACCAACGACGGGTTAGAAGTGAGGGATTTTTTGCTCTGACACTTCTCAAAACATAGGTTCTTGTGTTTTGCCTGGGGGCAGTGAGCCTGTCTAAATCGTAGTGGAAACTCGAGTGTCAGCTCATTTTCGCTTCAGAAGATAAACTCTAAAATTCATCATTAGGGCAGGTTAGCTTTAATGGAGACCAAAATAAAGCCTATTTGGCGCGATTAACTGCATCAGTCTGACAACTACTTCGTATCAGGAAACTCTCCACCACTCAGTAAAGCCCCAGCCCGAGGGTAACTTAGAGGCTGTGCCCATGAGCCAACTAAATAGGGACATACCAAACCTGTCTAAATTAGAGACGCTCCGTGTGTGTGCAAGCTTAATTGCCGAACATTAAGGAAGGCATTATTAGTTTGCGAGTCACTAAACAGGCAGGCGACTGTTTAGGATGGAACAATTCTTCGCCTAGTAATTATCAAGCTCATTTATCCTTGATGCTTTAAAAATCGTATCATTTATAGCTATGTTAGTTCGTGATCCGACACAGGTATCGTTCATCGGTACTACGGACGTAGGCGACCTCGATCAACTGACACCAGGTCACCCAGAGTGCATTCAGACGGTTCGCATGGCACATTGTCACATTTATCCTTCACGCTCCAAACATTACAGGATATGGAGTTGGGTTGATTATTTAATCACCATCGGTATAGTTTGTCTGTGCTACAGCCATAGATGATCTGGTAGAAGTGCCGCTAGGTCAGCTAAAATCCATTGTGTTTATTTAATATTCCCGTTTTGAAAAATCTTACTTCCCCATGTAAAATGAGTGACTAGAAACGCATTATTCACCCATAAGTTCGAAGGCAATAAAGAGTGCGGTAGACTATTTCATGTCGCTGCTATTTATGCATTATCCAGGGTAATGGTCAGTCTCTGGTTAGACACTAAATGCGCAATTATTCAGCGCATAATTTTGTCCCAGATACGATCACTCTTACGACTGATTCGTTAATGGCATCGCCAAATAGATCTGCAATAAGATCCTTACTATTACCAACAATTAAGTGAAAATTGATTCTGTTTAAACAGAGAGTGATCATTTTCGGTAGGGAAGATGGTACATCTATGAGCATTAACAAGTCGTGGAAAGTCATTGCGTGCTAAATATACCCATGAAAAAAGGGTTTTTTTAGGAGTGGTTGATAAAAGGAGTGGGGATTTTCCGTCTTTCTTTAAGAAAATCCTCTTTATTATTCATAGACTTACTACTTGTAAAGAAAATTGGCTACACTCTATGGGTGAGGGAAGGAGTGGCAATTCAATAAACGGATTGTAGAGAGGGGAAATTGGGCGTTTTTTCACTTAGAAAGTTGGTGGGAAACATAAATGGTAAATAAGCCACCGACTACTTCAACTTGACACTGTCGAGGTGTCTCGTGGGGATCCACTCACACCAACGTCATCCACCCAATTCTGAACAATATGCGGAATAGATGGTAACCCTGCCATTCATGTCCTTCCTAAAGGTTTCACTTGAAATCTAAGTAAATTAGCTAACTGTGCCCTCAACCTTCTCAATAGGCGTTGATTCGGTTGACAGTCGCCAAGGAAAGGAAGCTGAGCTACCTTCTTTCTCCCTTTGCCATCCCCTTTACTAAGGCCTAAGTTACCCCTCGAACGGCCTAATAACTCACATGAATGTGGCCTTTGCGTGGCCATGCCTCCTCTAGAGAGAGAGGCTTGATGAGATTGTTATCCCTTTTTCAGTGAGGACACGCAAATCAGCCGCAAATATTCATCGGCTATGTGACACCTAAATCATGGCGCTCTTTCCTCCACTTAACACTTAATTGCCTTCAAAAGTGCCGCGAATTAATAGATAAGTATTGCAATGATAATAAAACCCTCAAGTGACCATGATTGTAGTCACATCCATACCGGGTCACTTCTTTGCCAAAAAATCGGCCGAGTTTTATGGGGTTACAAAAATATTATCCGTGGTTTGTTGGCGGATCACTGATTTGAGATGGAGGAAATAAGTCTGTGTTATCATGTAGTTAATGCCGTAATCTAGGGGGCTCTGATCGAGGCCTTCAGAATCTATTAACTAACTGACCTGGAAACAAAATTACCTCATTCCAAGTCCTCACATTCACATATGCCAAGACTAATATGATAGACAGCCCTTAAACGGGCACGTTGAAAACAGGTTGACATTCAACAATTCATTTTGTTGCATTGCCTCCGGTAGGCTCTTTGAGTTGATAACTTCCACGCAAGACGAATGGAGAAATTTTAAATTAGTTGTGAACAAAGAATGCACTTTATTTTTCCGGTTCAATAGGCAGTTTGCCAAAGGACCTGACTTTAAAACAAAGACCTCATTACTATTTAATTTTGAGTCCTATGTACCGCGACCGACCGACCGAACGGCTGACTTGTTTTAAGTACAAATATTAGCACAGAATGAAAGTTATTTCAGTGTAAAGACACCGTGTCGTAGCTACATCCACCGCTTCATCGCCCTTAACGCTATTCACCCTCCAAGCGCAGTCTTATGGCACTTTGACAAATAGGCGAAAATTTCCTCCGTGTACCCAGCTCAAGCCCTCTCCAAATAAGATTTCTCAGTTCGTTTGATCTCACAAGGGGCAAAATTCTCCCTCTGTTTTTCCATTTGCAGCACGCAACGGCGGGGGTAGGTTAAAGCGCTTTTGGGTTCAAAAATTAGCCGCATATTACAGCGGTTAGAAAACTTTGCATAATATAAAGTGGACTTGATTTACTTGATTTACCTCATGTAGATGCATAGCCTCCACTAGTAGGGAGAAAGGTATGTTTTGGGAGTGGCGTGTTGCAAAGGAGTTTTCGTGAAAGAATACACCCATAATCTCGTCGCTTTGCCATTATGGTAGTGTTGGTCCCAATTACGCGGTAAATGAAAAGTTATTCTTTCACCTCGGTCGGTGGGAGGGCCGAAATCAAGCAATACTAAGGCGATAGGGCCCACCCTTGGGGGAGGGTTCTCTGCGCTCTAGGTAGCGCGTAAGAAGCCCCAACTAGAGTGGCATGTGATTAGCCGTGTCATACATCATATTGTAAGAGGGTCTTGAGGGTAGGCACCTTCCAGTGCTTAGGGCGGAGTGGGGCAAAGTGTAGAAGATATTAATAACGTCACCAACTTTTATGTCTCAATATACCGCACCTTGTTATAAAGCTTTCACAGCTATAGACAGTAACATGCCTTCCTTCCACAACCAGCGGCACATAATCAGATAGGTGAGTTTATAACCCTCCTTTATACTGTGGGAACAACTGGGCCGAGTTCCACCTTCCCGAAAAGCCTCTCGTATTTTGCGACTCATGTAAGATATAAAATCTTGCAGCACTTTTTTGTGCTTCACCATAGGCAAAGTGGTTTGATGGCAATAAAAAGGGCAAAGGGACAGTAACAACCTTCCATTGAACAAAATAATACATGTCCTCTCTAGGTAGGCAATAACAAACCAAACACCTAGTCATTTAGTTTTTGACCTAAGTAATTAAAGGAGGGGATAAAAGAGATCGAGGTACGGATCTCCTTCAAGCACTTCCCCATTCGAGGATAGCACAACACATTCTCGGTTGCCGCTGAACCAAGATTAAATGATAACCAGTGCTTCGTTGTTCTTGTGTGTAACTGAAGTACTTAAGACAAAAGTTTGCAGTTCAGACATGTTTTGGCAATGTCGATGAAGTCAATCACATAGGTAGCGCTCCTGTGTGTGCCTCTGTGTATTTGCAAATGTGGCACCAATCAATAGGGTGCTTAGCATTATACCTCTACAGCTCCGCATAGCCTCACACAAAGACCATGTGACATGATTAAGGAAACTACACGAGCCATTTAGCACCGTGATCGCATGAAAAGCCACTGAACTACTTTGATCCGACTCCCAGATCTCTCTCACTTGTATGTGGTATCTCTTTCCAAGACATAGTTTGGCAAACGGATCTCAGTTTCATCTTTCCAATGCTGTCACCAAAAGAAGTGATGCAAAATACTCGCCAACGACATCCAAACTTGGCTATCAAATTGGCATCAGCGGGTCTCCTATCAACTCGACTCACAAGCTCGGATTTGCTGGCGGTGCAACCGCCAACTCTCGGGGGAATCGGTCAATTGCCCCAAACAAAGCAGCAAGAGAACGCAGTGGCTGATCTTAAAGCAGCTATTCTCCAGCACTCCAGTGGAATTAAAACGACCTACACTGAGAAGATCGGTGCTAGTAGGAATGTCGCGTTTCGATCGCCTTCACCAGAAATCATCAATTTCTTCCTTGCCTTGGCCTTTCTCGCCATTCGAATCTCCTATACCTTTTGGACGGTTTGGCCCACATTCTCTTTCCTCACTTCCATTCTGCTCATATGTTCTGGTGTTTACTTGACCGTTGAGTACGCGGCTATCAGTCTACTGGTTCAGCTGACTGCTTGTCTCACTGTACATGCCAACTCGACCAACATCTATGGGCCCCTGGTTATGGTTCGATTGCCTATGCGATTGTCTGCCTGGCAGATGATCATACTAACTGTTGTTGGTTACTTCATCACTCTCAGTAGTTACGGCGTCCTCTTTCATTTGGGCTTAAGGCAGTTTTACAAAGCGATCCAAAAGAATTATTATACTGTGGTAAATGTTCTTCGACTCACCAAAGGACTAACCAACACTGCAATGGAGCTGGCAGAAACGCCAACGCTTTGCAGTGGGACACCCACGATGGAGGAGAGTAAAGGCTGCCAAATGTGTCACTGCTGGCCTCTGCAAGGTCGAACTCTCATTATCGTCGGTTTTCTTTCGCTCGTGGCCAGCACACTTATCCGGGTACCATGTTTATACGATATTTTCCTGCTTTACTGGAATGAAAAAGACTACCTCTGTCTCACTACAGTGGCGCTCTTTATTTGCGTACATCTAGCGTGGCTCATGATGTGGCTTGGATTTGCAATGAAACAGAAGTGGAACTTCCGCATGAGCTACCCTCTGGAGATGCCACCATGTCTGGACCCGAACGTACAAAATACATTCTTGACAGAACCTGCAGTCCAGAGCCGTTTAGTTTATACACCTATTCAGGAGTGCAACGAAGATGCTTCCCTGGTATTCCCGAATCAGAACTTTTTCTCACCCCTACAAATCCAAAATTCAGGTATCTCTCTTCATGATGCCACCTATCTACCTTCAGCTCAACTGCAAGCAACATCCAACAGCCTGAAATACCCTCCACGTACTCCAACACCACAAGAAATGATTGAAGGCCAGATAATAGCCAACAAGTTCTACGGAACCAATATAGCCGCCCAATGCGTAGGTACACCGGGAGGTGAATTGGTTCCTTTGCAGGGCCATTATCTCCTGGCACCGACAACACAGAAATACGCCTCCATACGAAGGCTGAACTCTTGGGGGCCAGAAGTCCCTAAGGAAAAGCAGAGGGTGGTTGTAAGCGTTACTGAGACCACTTTGCCGAATCAAGTGCTACGAGGTCCTCGAACCATCTCCTGTGAGACTGCGAGAAGTAGTGACACGCGTCCACAGTCGGTATTGCTTCAACCAAATGAAGAAAGCAAAGGGGTGGGAGGAGGAGAAGGAGAAGGAGAAGAAGGCAGCATGCTTTTACAGATGACTCCCATTGCTTTGCAGGAGAGTGGTCGCAGTACTGCCAGTTCTGCTGATCAGATATGCAGTCAAGTTTGAAGGCGACTCACAATCTACCCTTCATTTTTTTGCCTTAAGTGTGCTTGTGTGTGTGTGGCGCGATGTGAGGGTAGAGATTCAGGTCCTATTCTGCATGCGTACAATCGCTATCACGGTGCCTAGAACCTACAGTTTTGTCTGTGTGTGAATGATGAAATAAATGACTTTGCGCCCCCTGTTGTCCTCGTGTGCACTCCAGTCGGAGTGTCTTTGTGCGCCTAAGTTGTCCCGCCCTGTACATGCGTGTATTTAATTCGTCAGCCCCCAATCAAGAGTAAATGTGTTAAGTCTGCACCTTGGTTCACGTATTACAAGAAAGATGACTTTCTTTTCAATGCGGTGCTTTGAAAGATTTGGAACATTGCTGGCAGTCTTGGTTCAAAATACAAAAACACACTGATTTAGATGTGGGTTGGCTGGTCTTCAAGTATCTTTAGGATAACAAAAAAGGTGAGTGTGTTATTGACATGTGTAAGAGTGGAAAATTTGACTACGCATACTTCAACACGAAACATTTCTTCCTTATGTGAAAGCAAATTCAGATACCACATGTAATTTTTAATTTAAATGTAATGCATTAATTATTTGTTGAACTCTCAGTTTTGACAACAGGCTACTTGGGGGCTCCGCCATTGTAACTCCGTGTAGTGGCCTGGCCTCCAGGTCATGATGGTACACCCAATTCCCTCTTTTTTAGCCAGCACATATACCGCCCAATTAATCTGCCTTTTTGCAGCAACTGGAAGTCTCAAGTCGCCACACAAACCTCTTCGAAAGTGTTGAGAAGTCAAACGCCTCACCAGAACTTGTAGACAGCAGGAAGAGCACTAAAGAGTGAAATTTTAAACGCCTCTTTTACATAAAAGCTTGCGACACCTTTGCATGATCATGTGTGAATTGTTATCCATGCATTCTAATCAGCTCAATATAAGCTTTGTTTTCCTATCGCAATAAAATGCCTACAACAATTAGATTTTGGACCTTTCGGTCAAGTAGTTATTCCACTTGGATGAACAAAAGGGCAATTTTCGCTCAAGCCGACAGAGGCGCGCCATGTTCTTGCAGGTGAATTAGACTTGGGTATGGCGTTAGCTGGGTTGTGCATTAGAGACCAATATCTTAACCACCGAAACACTAATAAAGTAATTGGAGCAGCAAGCAATAAATTCGATCAAAAAACAAGTATTTTATATTTTGCAACACAATGTTTCTTTAATCCACTGTATTGCGGCAATAGGTCACGCAGGACTGCGCCAATGTACCTCCGCCAAGCCATGGCAGTGATTCCTGAAGCCCTTCTGCACATCAGCAATGTATATGCACTCTAAGTAGTATGTCTTCTTTGTATAAAGGAAAGTCTCTAACTGATACAGGTTCGCCCTTTTTTCCAGTTAGAATAATGATTTAAACGTTAGCGCTTTTGGGTTTGGTGGCTACTGAAAAGATCCGAAGGCTATGCTCTGCCAAAGGCACAGTGGTGGAGCTCTAAGTGGATTGTTGTCAAAAACGAGAGTCAAATAAAGTATTAGAAAGATACTAGGAGAGAAAATGTATTCCGGAAGTACGGAAGGGTTGTGGACTCTCACATGGCCCGGAGCCCTGCCGGCAAGCGGAAGTACGATGTCGGGGCTAAAGGTGTCTGCAAAGCCAAGGAGATGAGTAGAATAAGCAATCAACATATGACATCGCACCGTCATTGGACTCTTAGTACACCTCGAGGGGTCCTTCTTCTAGGTGCTTTTGACCAGGTGCAAACCGGTTCCCGGAAAATGTGGTTCATGTGGTAGGAGCTAATGATGGAGCCCTTCACACCTCCAAGCAGACAAGAAAAAAGAAATTCGCAGGAACAGTTTTTCGCAGTTTTTGTATTTAAAAAGTTATTAACTTCGTGATTTGACAAAAATAGGGTCCATAGGCAGTCTTTTTTCGTGCAATTAATATGAGATTAGCGTGCCTTAAGTGGAGGATTCGCGAACTTGTCAGTATGCCCTCAATTATAACTGAGGCAAGTTTTGAAATAATCAGATCAGTCCCTACGAGAGTGGTGGTGTGAGTTCTGCCCTTGTTGTCTTGATTGGTCTCTCAAAAATGTCCCTAGTCTGTGGAGATTAGAAAGTGAGAAACAAAGTGTGTACTGAGAGTAATAGACGTCGAGTTGGAATCAATGCATTATAACAGTTCCCTTGCCCGAAATTTCGGCACTTTTATGAAGACCTATTCGGACAAAGTTGGCAATAGTTCCATCACCGATTCTTGCATGTTTCAACTAGTGTTGTTGCTTTAATTGTTGTCCAAGTTTACTAAATATTCCATTAGTCGAATCATGCTACCATTGAAGTAATGAATAAAATGGCATTTAAAGCATGTAAGTGCAAGGTGTAACATACTCGCATTCAACGCCATCACTCCAAGTCCTTTCTGATGTCAAAAACTGACATAACACGAGGGTAATAATATGTATTGCCGACGTCCAGAGTTTCTAAGTGCCACTGGCAAGATCTGGACGCCGCGTAAAGGAGCCTCAATTAACCGCGAAACCCGAACTAAATGTTAAACTAGCAATCGAATTATAGCATAAAATTTAACATTCTTTAGACATCTAATATGCATATAGTGGGAACAATGTACTTTTAACTTTACTTTCTGCCAAAACAAGGCTCTCAGTACTTCCTGATTTCTCTTTCGTCAATGCAGAACTCTCAGTTTGAGAGAATATTTCCAAACAACTCCGTAATTTAAAATCCAATGTTCGAAGCGTAAAATGTTAAAACCCCACGCCTTCCAATCCACCCATGGCACACTGGTATTGAATCCCTACGCCATGGCTTGTCCTTCCCTCTACCGACTAGTGCTATTAGGAAAGTGCTACTTTGGAGAGCCTACGTGCCTTTGTAGGGACTACTTGCAAACAACAATCCTTTGTTCATAAGGACCTAAATCCTACATTGGAAGAACAACTGAAGTACAACCGAACCAATTCACCAAGCAAAGAGTATACTCTTCTCTCGTGAGACCCAGGAACTGGCATCTGGAAGAAGGGATGTAGCAAATAGTAAAACAATGTTTCGGAGGCATAACGATGAGCAGTTGAAATGCTAGATAAACTGCTTGCAGTCATTCATTTAATACAATCATAGATTCCCCCTGGATATAAATTTCCTACATAAATTTTGGTATGTCGTAGCATTAACGAAGGCCCACGTATGTTACAACGCTTCGTCCACAAAAAGCACTCTTTAATAACAAAACAATTATAAGAGTGGCACGCAAACGTGGGCACTCATTGGGAGAAAAAGCATTATAATAGTAGACGCGAATAGAAACGTTGCCAAAGCCGTGCTTACTCTGAAAATGCAGACTGGCCTCACCCTCTGGGAAGCTTTTGCAGTAAATTGGACCACACTCATGCATTCCCGTCACTTCTATTTCTCAATCGCATTCCACAATGAGGAGGTTTGAACAAAAGCCTGTCAACCATGCGCGCTCTTTTAATTCATTTAACGTGTCAGTTGGTTTGGGAGGTGAGTAATTGCCGCCTTGGAAGCATGGTTGGGAGCGTGCGTTCAAGTGGAGTGAATGCGTAGTGGCAAATGAAATTAATTACTATTTATGGCCATTTGGGGAGTCTTTATTTCACTACCTAGCCTTTATAATATTTCCTTCATAAAATGGTAGCAGGTGTTATTTTAATAGGCAATGCTACGACTCTGGGGTAATTAAATATTTGTCTGCGTAATGCTCATCTCCGGATGGTCTTAGACGCCCTCACCTACACCCTATTGAGTTGCCGCAACCGGACATTCATAAATCGCATTCGAGGCTACCTTTGAATGTCACAGCTCTGTGTGCTGGTTAACTTTACGTTGATATGAGGCGTTATCCTGAGGAAATGACTGCCTTTCCATGCATTATTTCTTATTTATACTTACTGTATCGTTTTAATTCTTAAGCTCACATGCAGAGAAACCACACTTCTAGAGTTTAATAAATATTTCTACAAGAAGTTGCGGCCTTTACTTAAGACAATTACTAATGTTCTCCTCTAATCTCCCACAGATCTACTAAGGAAGATAAATTTTTAAGCTTACAACTACTTTGGCACTCTAGCGAAGCCGACCGACAGGAGAAGATGTCCTGCCAGAAATTCTGTGGTTGTGCTCCAACGAACCACTTTGTAAGGTCAGTGCAAATTTAACTAAATTGAACAATTTGCAAAACCTGTGGCCATATTTGGCATTTGTTAAAATGCAACCAATTTTGGCATTTCTGCTCAGTAGTTAACACCGCTTTTTCTCAGGATAGCTCTTTAATCCGTGGTTAAGCCTACTAGGAGGGCTGAATTAAGTGCGCCTGAGGGGACTGCAAACGGCTGCAGGCAAATGCCGCATAGTGCGTGGAATGATTGCTCCAACTGCAATCCCTTTACAGTAGGGCTTATGTCAGTAAAAATGTTTGTTGTTTCAAAATTTGTAACTGCAACATTATGAGATTCGTTGGGATGTTCGCTGAATGCTAAATAAGTAATGTTTGGTACCGAGTCAACGGGATAAGGGGATTTGTGTAAAGTCGTTCCTATGCATAAAGGTTCAATGAAGGAGGTTTTTTAGAGTGCTAAAGGGGATCAGCAGATAGGCAACGATGTGGGCTATTGCGAGTTGATTTACTATGCTTTAAGCAGTATGAAAGAGGAAAACAGGTTAGGAGATACCAATTCTCTGCCTTGCACTTCTCTCCGATGGAAGAAGACGTATTAGGGAATTGATAAATTATTAAATTATGAAGCGTTTACCTTAAAGGAGCCACCGAAAGATTGTTTAAGTCTATTAGGTTTTTGTATGTTTTTATTCATCAAAAGACGAGATTGTGACTTGAATGCAAAGCCTAATCTCAATGTAGAGAATACCTTACCTCAAGAAAGATGCATAGTAGAAATATCCCAACTATTCGTTTAGGTGATTATTTTGAAGCCCAGCTTACCAATATGGAAAGCACTAAAATCACTTTTCAAGTAAAAGCACGCAGGATCACCAAGAAACCACAGTACGCTTAATTTGTGAACCACTTGGAGATGTCTCGGGTTTTAAAACAATTTATTTGCATACCTATATTGGAAAATCTCGAGTCATGAACCAAATCGGGCAATGCATTGGAGGCAGTGAATGCTATCCAAGTTATTCTTTCTCGGTCTGACAAGAAAGTTATCAGTAACACAAGAATTATTCTGCCTAAAATAAACTACTTATCAGGAAATTGTTTCAATAAAAAGTACATTTCGGTGCCTTTCAGATACTGTGAGGGAATGTTTGTCGCACCGAAGGCCTAACCTTCACTGAAAAGGAAATTCACTATGGCGATGGCACAATCCTACGTAGGGACATGCCTCGCAAATAGCGTTCTCATTTCCTCCTAATTCTGCAAAATTATGTTGGAGCATACTTTAAATGTGAGTAAGAATAAAGTGTCTTGAGTAGAGTAAGAACTGACGAAAAGCTGTAGAAATGCATTCCTTAGGGGTGGTCAATATCCCAAACAAATGTTATATAAAGACCACATTTGATTATTGACTGGAAGCACCATCACGAGCAGAGATTATACAGGCAGTTTTGGCTCTCTCTTTTTATTGGTTTATCTTTGGATCAAACCTTTGAGATCCAGTAGGTTTGTGCTTTTTCTCCTCCTGCCACTTTTTTGTCTCGTGTAGCAATGTAATGGAGGCGAAATCTGCTTTTTGACACTGTGGTCCAGTGAATCCACAGCAACTCTCATGCATAATGCTGATTGCAATTTTGTGCCAATTGGCGCTCTGACTGCTGAAATAATTACGGAGTGTACGAAGGTGCCAGAAGTGAAGTCACTCTCAGAAAGTGTCAGATTTGCCATCAGACATAATACAAAATTCTCGCTCTCAAGGAGCACCTCCACATGCTGACTGGCAGAGCCTGTCAAGTACATCAAGTACAGCACCGAGGTAGAAAATTCAGCAGGATTTGTTGTACCATGAAAAGATTATCCCACCTGCAGTTTGGAAGGGGGAGGGGTTGACAGATCAAAATAATGAAAAAATAAACTTATTAGCATATGAGAACATGAAATGAGGAAATTGAGTAAAAAGGAACATTCCTGAGGTAGTTAGGCTTCTGTTGTTCGCTAAACAGTTAGCGAATGTTTGAAAATAATTTCATTAGCTGTCAATTCCACCAGAACCCAAAATATTAGCGTCAATTTGGGGGAGGTAGTAATTGGTTTATTGGGCCGGGCCTCCATTCCGTCGTCCGATTTATAAACATTTACCCGGATTTCCGCTAGAGCAAATAGGTGGTCGCAATATGAGTGGCAGTGATTTTTCAACTTAATAACTTTCTCTTTCGTGGGAAACAAATCATTTATTTTTCGAAATGAGAAGTTGACAAATATTAATACTTTTTTGTTTGCGGAACATAGTGGCTCCTACTCTGTGATCAGCCAAATTCAAATGAATTTTTTAATGCTGGGAATTTTGTCTGTTATGCTTCAGAGTTTCCCACTGTATTAAAAGAAATATGACAGATTAGTGGACAGTCTTATATCCCCCCATTGCCTTGTTTTTTAAATTCCAACTGTGGAATAAAACCAAGCGTTTGCCGATCTCTCTTTGAGACTCCTTCGGTTGGTTTTGTCCCGTCGTGTGAAGCTTTGCCGGCTCTCATCTTCGTTAGACCCACTCGGGTATGGTCGCGGTGAAAGCGCCATGAGTACCGTGATACAGCACCACACCTGCGGGCTGAAATTTGCAAACGAAAGGATAGGGCAAGCTTAGGTGAAGTTATTCTGGCCATTAGGTTGTGAGCAGTAGCGTTGAGGTTATGTACAACCCACAAGCATTTTTACCCCTACAACAGCCATTTCTTCCAGGGTTGGCTTCAAGTACACGGCCCAAAGGCCTTAAAATATTCGCGTACGCCAACATCACCCATATTTGTCACAGGTATCATGGCGTGTTTCAAACTAGTCAGTTCATGAAACAATGCCCACAAATTTAATTTGTGCTGTGGAATTGCAGATAAGTGCTGCTTATTAAATAAATGATAAGTTGATAACTGATATCCTAATGAAGTGCATTTCATAATGTGTTCGTTTACCATTTTGTCTCGGAGATGGGAAGTAAGACGACGCCGCTAGATCCGACTCGATAGTTAAAAAATATCCTGCTACTAAAATTAGACAATTTTACTTGCCTCCCGAGTAAGCTCCTTTTCGTATAGGTAACGGGCTCTAGGTTTTGAATGTGTTATTTTGCGGTAAATAAGAATGCATGCCCGTGCCGGATTGGAATTTTCCCTCACGGCGGTTAGTCGAACCATTCGAGCATTAACAAACGAACTGCCTTGTGAACAGGAAAAATACAAACATATTTCTCTTACGTCCGACTCCACAATTTATAAAACCTATTTTACCTAGGCATCTGGAAGGCAACGAGATATTCCGATTTGAGTACCAGCAAAAAAAATTTTTTGCCTCCTCCCACTTAAAGTAATTCCTAGATGCTAATTAGACCGAAAAACAGCGAACAGAAGCTTTTGCCGCCACAGCTTACCAAAACTGGTAATACCACGGCTATGAGTCGACTTCACTGCTTCAGCAATACATAAAACAGGAGGAAAATGTGAACTCATTGCCTTAGGAACAAAATCCGCTGGGGCGAAAATCCAGCTTGAACGAAACCCTACTGATGGCCGTAGCTCACAGTGAGCATTCAAGCTAGCATAGCAGTCAACGGTGAGCTACATCTGAGGATATGGCAATTTGTTATGTTACTGCAGGAGAAGTTGGCCTCGCGTCATGAGAGTGGCCTGAAATGAGCGCCTACTCATATGATTTCGAAGCCGCAAGAATTGGTGCATACTCTTATCTATTGAAATCCAATGCCAGCTATGATAGCAAAATATTCAGTTGATTAAAAACATAAAAAACACTAATAATATGAGTGGAAACAAATTAACAACTGCACAGACCTCGTAAGTCAATTCAGATGCAATTGCATTTTAATAATTTATTTGCGGAAAAATGGTCTTAGATCAAATTTATAATGAAGGACGACAGTGGGTGACGAGGGAAAGGTGGGAGCATTAAGTATATGTATGGGAGGTGTATTACCATATTCAAGCGTGTGTTTCAGGCTGGAGAACAAGCGTTTGGAGGAGAGAGAGAGAGAGGAATGATTAGTAGAGCACAGATGAATTGAGTCGCTTCATTCAAATTCATAATTGCTGGTACCAATGATGCTGCAAATAGAGTGCAATACGTTGGCTGTTTGTTGAAATCTCGGCTGTGATAAAGAAGTATCGTAGGTGCTGCGCCATTGTACCTCCTCCAAGTGGGCTGGCTCTCGGGTCATTCCAAAAGCTCAAAGCCCTACATGCGGTCAGCGGTACAAATTTATCCAGGCATTTAGTTTTTGTTCGTCTTTAGGGAATTGTTGGTGCGGTACATTAGTGGCAGCACAAAGCGGACCCGTTTCTAACGGATGCCTGCCCTGTTTCATGCTGTTTGGGGATAAACATCGTGACATATGAAGTGCATAAGTGGTGAACCCTAACAGGAGGGTTGAAAATGAAGTCCACATTCTGCAGACATTCCAATCCCGCGGTCCGCGATATATTTGTTAACAGATGAAGCGATACTGACCATGAATCATCTGGAAGAGTTTGTGATAGATTTGTCTGGCTTTCCTGCATAAAGCCATTAAATATGTGAAAAAGTGGCCTCTCCTCCACTTCTCTACTAGCTGGATTTAAATCCAGGTAGGTCTGGATAAGAAGCACTAAAATGCGAATAAAAGTGTCAGGGAGGAATTGGCGCGGAATTTTAACGCCACGAAACCATACTGAACCCCTTCCTTTGCCACTTTACTCCTCCTTTAGGCCAGTGACCTCAAGACTAGAGATAAACGCATATGACGGCCAACACATTGCCCCACAGCACGGGGCAATTTGCAAACAGGATGGAACCCTAGATTCAGTAGAATTGCCACGAGGGATCAGTGGCATTCGGGCAGAGTAACTTCCGTCTCCGGGGAAGTCTCGACGTGCTACGATGGTGGCGATTGGCCAGACCTCCTAAACTGCTCCAAATATGGGTGCAATTTAATACCTCGTGTGGAAAAATTGGCCTTGGATCAAATTGTTGGTCGATGAATAAAGAAATATGGCGGGGGAACACAGAAACATTATACATGGGAAGCGAACTGACAACGCCGAAATATGTCAGATTTGAGAATATGTGTAAGGAAGAAACGGTGAAAAATTAATTTGTCAAACTTCACATATAGTTGTAGGCGTGACAATGGTCATAGAACACTACACATGAATTATTCTAAAGACTTCCATAATACCTGCTTTACAAACTACATACCGAACAGCCAAAAATTGTGACAGCTGCACTCTAATGCCTCAGCTATTTGTTTAAATCTCTGTTTTTGGTACCGGGTTACTCTGCGCTACTACTGTCTTCCCTCCGCCTGCTTCTGTCTGTCCTCTACATCGGCAATACATATTCTCCCCGAATATTTTTGCTTTTATTTTTCTGAATATCACAAGGGGCTTCATGAGCCCTACATAGGTGTCTCGGTTTATTAACAATAAGCCATATTGTGCCTTTCGTAAAAATAAGCCATATCTCTGAAATAAAAACGCCATGCCTAACCCCAAGTTCGCTATGAGGCTCAACGCCAACAGCCTCATAAATGCCACCAAATTACAGCAGTGAGAATGTCGCAACTACAAGCGTAGTAAGCTAGACAAAAATAGACTTGTTTTAAGTGCCTTATCTCTCCCTTTGGCAATTTCAGGCTCATGCCTAGCTGCTTCTTGATGAAAATTCACTCGAACATGCGCAATTTCACGGCCTATCCAAAGTTTAGCCTGCCGTGTCACACATCGTCTTCAGGACCTGAGGTTGGAAACAAAATTGTGGCTGCGTTTTGGCTCCTTTTCGCTAAAGAATTTTTTCATCTATAATAAATGCAGTCGCGTAATATCTTAGGTCATGGAGTGAATAGCAGAAACCTACTCGGCATTTAAGTTTTTCTCTCGAGGACGCATTTCAAGAACGTAGTGTTTGGGGAACCCTGTAACCTCTCCGGTGGACGTTCGATATTAGCCGACTTGCCGTTTTGATTGAAAGAGATTGAACTGTAGAGAGAGGGACATGAGAAAGCCTAATTTTGCACGGCTAAGCTTAAAGCCAAACAGTCCAACTACTGATTCATCTCCACGCTTTATAGTACAATTTTAGTGCCAGAGATGAGCTTCCTTAGTGTGTGACTACTGCAACATCAACATGCCTAAACAAGTACACAAGGCAGATGCACATCCTCCTCTTCTTGCTTCAACCAATGATGATTTGATTGCAGTAGACTGTGTCATTGGGTTTACCTACTGGGTGATAAATTTACCTGCTGAATATATTACAACTGCAGCGTTTGTGGCAGTTTCAGATTACAACACAGTTATTCGACACAAAGGTAAAGCAAAATAGGCGACAACTTCACTTTTACTTACTTTATGTGAAATCAGAATGATGGCATTTTGGGTGAACAGGCAAAGAAATGAACAAGATTTCACTGCCAGGTCACTATTTGGTCAAAGCAAGACAAATTCGGGCAAAAAATGGTTTGGATGGAATATAATCACCATAGGATGTTCACCCGACAACAGTGAATTGACTACTGCATTTAAGAATGGCCAAATGCCGGTGTATCACCAAGCGAAAAGACGAACACCACATTGAAAGAGGGTAAAAAAGACAGATGCATTGAAAGTACAAAACACTGTTATAACACAGGTAAAACAATAATGCGTCGGCTTTCAATTTAGACCTCATTCTACCTCATTATGGCTCTGTTCTTTCACCCAATGATTTCCTTTATTTTGTGAATAAAATGGGTGTATTGATGGTGAGGCAATCCTTATCCTCCTACTGTAGGGCAAAAGCTAATCGACAAGGTGCTTAACGATAACCATTCCAAGTTAAACCGTAATTGCTACAGGCGCTGTGAGAACAAGACTGCCGCACGGATCGCACCTAAAGGAACAGTTCACTTAATGTGCAATCATGAGGAGTGTACACGGACTTACGACCACTCCCAGAGTATGACCAGCGAGCGGTTCCCAATATCATGAGCAAGCATGCTGGCAAGGAGGCAGAGCCGGAGGAAAAGCGCCAAGCAGCGGAGCACGGAAATATGATGCTCCGAACCCGATAACAGAGTGGCCACATCAGATCGATCGTGTATGACGGGGTCGGGTTTTTAAGTATGCATGGCAAAGTACTGATTAAGCTTGCACCACAGAAAGGACACCCAGGTTCCAGCATGCAATTTATGTCGGTGCTTTTCTTTCATTAATCAAAAAGGGTTAATTAGTGGAAGGTAAAATCCTACCATGCCAATCTTGTTACCTTGATTTGCTAGTAAACTATAATTCAATGAGGGTAGAATGTTTAATCCAATCGGGTCTTCAAGACTGAAAAGCAGTGCAATGGTAGAATAAAAAGAGGTTTCACAGCGAATGGCAGGATATGTAGGAGCGAGGGCTTTTATGACTGAAGAACTTACTACGCTTATCCGTATGTGAACCATCAATAAAGATAGGGGAGGTCATAGCCGTGCAGGATGGATGGGAAATAATTAGACAGCACACCTAGGGACAAAATCGCACACACACGCAAAATATGTCATGGGTTTGTGTGCAAAACGAAATACTGGTAGAGGATTTAGAGGAGGTGTGCCACACTGACTTGCCGTCAACCCTTCGGAAAGGTCCAAGTTCATGATACCCATGCTAGCTTTAGGAATGGAAAAAGGCGAGGTAGGTGCGGAATAAATGAATTAATACAAACGGACTCACCTGCGCAGGATGGAATCGTCATACGCCCCACAGATGGGTGGTCAGAGGAGCTACTGTTTTTGCTAAGGGGTTAAAAGTGGGTAATTAAAGAGGTGAGGCTGGTAAACGTTGATGCCAGTGGAATATTCTAGGGGAGTTTGAACAAAAGCGATTATCAAAATACTGTAGCTCTACCAAAAGGTATGAATATTGTAGTACATTTTGCGAAGAGGGTTCAACATTTGAAAGAGAATTGTGACCATATATTTGCCGTACAAAATTGGAAATCGGAAGATAACATGGCATTGCATCTGCACTTTGGCTGATCCGATATGCACAGTACCCAGATGATGCATAGTGTTCGCTTGCCAACTCATGTCAACCATAACATTGTCATCAGTTACAGTGATTTCTATCCTAATAACCAAGCTAGTCAGATAGCATTTCTCTCATTACAAGCAACACTGCGTGGAACCCCTGAGGTTCGAGGAAGATTATGACTATAGATAAAAAGGGAAAGGTAAGAGGGGAACATTGGTGAAGCGAAATGGAGTGCAATTACACTTTGAATGAGGACTGGATTGGCGCATTATGAAATGAGGCTTTGATGACCTTCAATAGAATGAGGATGCAGAGGACGATGTGAAGGTGATTTGGAGGGGTCGATACATTTGTCCTATTCGCCTTGTAGAGCAAAATGCAGCATATCGCATGCTAATTAAGGAACCCTGTGTTAGACAAATGGAAATGAGCAAATTCTGGAGGTATTGGAATCCGGTAGGATGCAC